CTTGTATGAGCAGTTTAAAGAGAAATTCAAATGATAAGTACGAAGTTTCTTGTCCAGTTTTAGCCAATGAAGCTGGAAATGTATATATTTTAGATCCTCAAACTTTTGTAATACTTCATCAGGTAATTTATTCTTTTTTTTGTATACAATGAAAATAACCACTGTAATTTTCGTCCATCTCTTGAAAAATTTTAAATAATAGTGGTCGAGGGTATATCTCTTTTTTTTAATATATTTCTCCAATCCCCCAATTCTTATTTGAAATTAGTAAATTATCCGCATTATTTTAAAACTAATTAATTTAACTATATTTAGGCTAATGCAGATAGGTTAAAGGTAACTCCAGTTTCTATTAAAACAACAGGAACATTAGCTGTAGATTTCAGAATAATTGTAGCCTGTAGAGAAGGCCATTTATGCGTATTGAGAAGGAATTGGTTGGAAGGCAAAAATATTATTCAAATGAATACCAATATAGTCGATTTTATTATAACGCCAGAAGACAACTTTATCGTGGTGGCTACTACCGACAAAATGCTTAATTGTTTTACGAAAAGAGTAAGTATATTTAAACAATTATTTCTTGAAATTGTTATCTTTGATGTATTGTAGGGACAAAGGCTATGGACATTGAAGCTACCCCAAATCATTACCTGTCTATGTTTGGTTCAGATTGAACATATTCGTGTCAACTTGTTTGGTGTTGGGTTGGATTCCGGGTTAATCCAATTGTATCAAGGGCGTAAACTGATTGATCAAACTAACGTTTCTGACGCACCATCTGTGATATTGTTTGGTCCCCTTGGACAAGAAGAGCATGCCCTTTCCATTGTCACGAAAGGTAAAGAATATTTATAAAATATAGATACTCGCCTATAATTTTTTTATGTTTAAAACACTGCTCGATGAGGAAACACTTTAACAGTAAAAGAAAACTGATTTTCACTAATAGAAGTGCAGCGTATAAAATGAAATGTTTTCCACCATAACAATAATTGAAAAAGTAATGAAAATTTGATTTGAATGAAAATAACGAAGTGAACCGAGTAATTAAAGTCCTTATTATGGATATTATACATATATGAATGAGTGTAAATGTTTTTATTTTTTTAATAAAATGTAAAGCTGCCTTTGATTTTTTCAATTTATAAATTGAAATTTCAAAATATAAACAACTATTTTAAGATTGGTCTGAAGTAATTTTCTTGTGCTATTGTAAAGTTATTTATTACCTTTAATGGGAATTAATCACAAATTCAGTGAAAAAAAAGTGGTAAGTACAGTAGCGCGAAGCTTCATGCTATGTTTTCTGTATTTTTAAAATTAAATAATATTTTTAAAATTGAATAAAGTAATTTGTTATTATTTTTTTTTTACAGATTTAAATAGAATTCAAAAAGTTTACATGTTGTATAAAGGACTCCTATCATCTTCTAAATGGACTCTTCCAACTGTTTAATGTAACCGTTATTTCGTAAAAAGTCATATTTAATATGTGCCGATTTAGAAATTTCTTCCAAAGTATAGGCACAGATATTTTGGGGTATAGGTATGAAAATTTAACTTAAAATGTTTTACTAATAACTTTTTGTCGCACTTTAATACAATAATCGAACTGATAATTGAATCGGTTATTTCGAAAAGGCCACATCTCCATTAATTTCACAAAATGAGTTAACTTCGCCATTTTGTTCAGAATAATCTTTAAGCTTTATTACGCGTGAAAACGCCACATATCCTCTGTTCGTTACTATTAATCTTGAAAGGCGTATTTCTCTGTTTATTTCGAAAAGGCCACTTCTCCGGAGATGTGGCGTTTTCGGAACAAACTGCGCGCGCCGGACATGTGATTTAGTGGTTACGGTCGCGGACCTTCCTGTTCCTATTCCTTGTAGTTTCCTAGACCAGTTGACGATTATCTTTAGTACGATTAGAATTCCATTGTGTATTGTTTATACAAAAATGAGTAGCTCTGATAGTGAAACCAGTCTCATTATTGAAAATGCACAAAGGAAAAGAAAGAAAGATATTATTAATCGGGTCCTGTATAAAAGTTATTAGCCCATATTAATTACGTGGGAAAACAAGTTATGGCGCGAAAAACTGGAATCGACTGTACTTGTCGCAAGAAGTGTTGTGAACATTTTTCGGAAATGGACAAGAATGCGTTGTTTACGTCGTTACATGACTTTGATGACAAAAACTCACAAGACTTATACTTACAAAATATGATCGAAGTAACTCCTATTAAGAGAATGAGAAAATCTCAGAATGCCATTAAACGTATTGAGAGACCCAATAATTTTTTGTTTCATGTTTGTTTAAAAGAAGTACGTAAGCAAGTATGTAAGAAAGCTTTCTTAAGTTTATATGGTGTTGGCGAAAAGCATGTCAGAAGATTATGCCACCTACTAAGTACTAGTGACTGGATCCACTCCAAGAGATAATAGAGGTAAATCTGTTAAATCTAGGCATAATTTAATACCAGATGAATTGTGCTTTCAAATACGTGAGCACATACAATCGTTTGATGTAAAGGAAGTCCATTATGCTAATATATTAAAAAAGTATTTACCTGCTACTTTGGATGTCAAACAAATGCATAAAATGTTTATCGAAAAATTTCCGGAATCTAAAGTGAAATACAGTTTTTATTTGAAGTATTTTCATGAAAATTTTACATACTCTTTTGGTCGTCCTCAAGTTGATGTATGTTCTGCTTGTGAAGAACTTGGCCAGAAAGTTAAAAGTACCACTCTCAACGACATTGCAAAACGAGTTGCTGTTGCAGAACTATTAGTTCACAAAAATAGGGCTAAGAAATTTTATAAAAAACTAGAGCAGATTAAAAAACTTTCTTCAGAGACGGACGAGATACTAGGAATCTCCATGGATTATATGCAAAATTTGCCGATACCTGACATACCTGTACAGGAAATTTTTTATTATCGGCAGTTATGGGTTTTTGAATTCAGTATACACAACTTAAAAACAGGAGAAGCTAAATTTTTTTCCTATCACGAGGGCGAGGCCCACAAAGGACCCAATGAAGTGTGCACCTTCCTGAAAAATTATTTTGAAAATGAGGTTTCTGAAAATGTAAAAGAGGTCCATATATTTTCAGATGGTTGTGCAGGCCAAAATAAGAACCACACGGTAATAAGATTCCTTCTAGCTCTTGCTTCGTCAGGAAAATTCAATCACATTTTTCATTATTTTCCAATCAGAGGCCACTCATTCCTCCCGTGCGATAGAGACTTCGGGGTAGCAAAAAGACTCATTCGCAAGCAGGACCGAATTTTTCTTCCTGAAGAATATTACGAATTGATAAAAAAATCGTCAAGAAAATCTCTTTTTTCTATAGAACTGGTAAAAAATGAAACAATTTTGGAATTCAAAAAATGGTGGCCCATGCATTATAAGAAAACCGTACTCTCCATTGACTCCTATGGGAAAAAAACCAAACATGAGAAAACAACTTTTCAAATTTCTCAATATAATGAGTTCGAATATGACAACAAAAAACCGGGAATTGTTAAAGTACGTCCATTTATCGATGGGCTTATGTTTCATGAATTTTCCTTGGGAAAACCAGCTGGAGTTTGTCCTAGTTTGCCAACAGAGTCTGCTTACACAGAAAAAATCCCTATTAATTCGAAAAAAAATGGACAACATCAAGAAACTTGTACAATATGTGCCAGAAGACAAAATGTTTTTTTATAATGAGCTGATTTTATGGCCTACCACTAATAGTGATGAACCACCAGAGGAAGATTACTAAAAGACTATTTCTTAACCTTCAACATGTTTTTTTGCCACCTAATAAATTTTTTCCTTAATAATATTGGAGTTTTCTATTATTAATCATAAAATCATCAGTGTTTGTTTGGAAAAGGCCACAACTCCAAAAACTAAATTATTTTTTACAGTGTACCTATGTCTTTTTTATGTTGGATTTGTTAATGAAACTTCGTCATGCATCACATTTTGAGACTTTACTCCGAAAAGAGAAAGATATCTTCATTAATACCAAAATGAAACGTTTTTTTTTTCGTTTCCTGTAAAATTAACATTTCTGGAGTTGTGGCCTTTTCGAAATAACCGATTCAATTGTAAAAATTCGACATTGTATTATTAATTATTCATTATAATGAAATCAATATAAAACGAGAAGTGTCTAAAATAAAAATTTAAACACCATGATTAAAAATTGTTATTACTTATGGTTGATTGATTGATTATTATAATTGATCTTTTATGTATCTGTTTGTTTTACCCAGTCTTACCACATCTTTTATTGGCAGATATTCCTTTAGTTTTTTTACTTTTTATTTATTGCTTGTATTTTGTTAGTTATTTTCACGCAGTTGTTAAGTTAAATCTGCTTAGAATAAATATATGACTAGAAACGAATTAATGGCGATTAATGAATCACCGTGAAGACCGTTATTTCCCGGCGCCACTTTCGTGATGCCGTCTCGTTGCACTACTTCCGTAACGCTCGAATCAGCATTTTACTACAAAGAAAAGTAATACAACGCCAGAATAGAAGCTTCGCTTCAAAATACGTTTCTTTAAAGTTCCGATTTCCACTTCGGAAATAGGACTCGAAATACCGAAATGGACATCGAAACGTCAAAATAAAAGTATTTTCAACTGAAATTGTGGTTATTTTCCAATAAAGATAAAAAATAATTAATTTAAGAGTAATGTTTAGAATTATTTGTACACGAATTAAACTAAAACCAGTATATTATATTTTGTAACATTTACCATTGTTATATTAAATATAAACTCGCTGTTAAATTTTAACAGTGAGAGAAACGTTAAAACTAATTTTAGTCCTCCACCTTTACTAAACAGTTTTAGTAATCAGCTGACTGACAGCTGTCTACTATCATTGACTTTTTGACCTTGGCTAAAAACGACTGTTACTGTTGTGTAAAACACGAACTATTTGTTTTGTTGTTGTGTATAATGTGTATATTAAACTCCTAAAAATGGAGCCAAATGTAAATATTATGGAACGACAAGGAAGTTGCCTGCTTCTACGATCTGCTAGTCAAAATTCCTTGGATGAAAGTTCTCAAAAACATATCTCCCAAATTCATCCTCATACAAAGGAAAGGCCACCCTACAGGAACCACCTGCACACTCAAAAGGCTTTCGATGTTATGAATGTTATGAGGAAGCAAAAGTTGCTATGCGATGTAGTTTTAGTAGCAGGTGATGCAGAGATAGCAGCACACAAAATGGTACTGGCTGCCTGCTCTTCTTACTTCTATGCAATGTTTTCTAGGTAAGTCATATTTTACTTATTCATTCTCAGTGATTATAGCTTCTAAATATACTGGTTAGTACAAGGTTTTAAGACACTCTTGATAGTGTGATGTCATTTTCCCTGTGCATCTAGAATACAAACACTTTTTAATTGATGGTGCTCAACATTATATCTGCTGTAATTATGGATTTTTTTTGTTTGTATTCACTATTATGTATACCAAAATTGAGGAAACTTTTTATTCGGGAAAGAGTTACAGGTAAAAGAAACCACTCTCCAGATACTTAATAGGTTGATAGATAAAATTTATTTAGATTTGATCATAAGAAACAATTCAATACCATATATAGAACAGGTATAATACCTAAAGAATGGCTCCAATCAACATTCATACTGCTTCCCAAAAAAGCCAATGCAAAGGAGTGCAATGAACATCGCACCATAGCCTTAATGAGTCATGTCTTGAAATTGTTTTTAAAAGTAATTCACAATAGAATACATAAGAAATTAGATGAAGGCATAAGTAATACACAAATGGGATTTAGGAAAGGACTGGGAACACAAGATGCACTGTTTGCAATAAGTGTTCTTTCGCAGAGATGCTTAGATATTAATCAGGAAGTATATGCCTGTTTCATTGATTTTGAGAAGGCATTTGACAGAGTGCAACATAATCGACTTAAAGAAATTTTATTAAATAAAAACATAGACAGTAGAGACATTAGAATCATCTGTAACCTCTATTGGAATCAAACAGCAAAAGTGAAAGTTGAAAACGAACTGACCAAGGATATCCAGATTCGCCGTGGGGTCCGCCAAGGGTGTATTTTATCACCCTTGTTATTCAATTTATACAGTGAAGCCATCTCAGAATTAGCGCTTGCCGAGATCAGTGAGGGCCTTATAATAAACGGTGAGCCACTTAATAACATAAGATATGCTGACGACACCGTCCTTTTGGCAGGAACACTAGAAGAACTGCAACACCTTGCTGAACAACTAAATATATATTGCAACGATTATGGACTAAAAATCAATTTGAAGAAAACAAAGTTCATGGTATTTACAAAAGCACAAAACATCAAAGTTAAGCTAGTACTAGACAATACAGAAATTGAACAAATATCTTCGTACAAATACCTTGGAGCATGGATCACAGAAGATACTGATCAGACAAAAGAAATAAGATGCCGCATTGAAATTGCGCGGTCAACTTTTAATAGAATGAGAAAACTTTTTTGTAATCGCGATATCAATATATCGCTCCGGATAAGAATGCTTCGATGTTATATTTTCTCTACCCTTTTGTATGGAGTTGAAGCTTGGACACTTAAAAAATCCAACATTAAAAACCTAGAAGCATTCGAAATGTGGTGTTACCGACGCATTTTGAAAATATCATGGATGGATCGCAAAACAAACGAACAAGTTCTCGAACAACTAGGAAAACAATGCGAAGTTTTAAATTCCATAAAGATCAGGAAATTGGAATACTTGGGGCACATCATGAGAGGTGAAAAGTACGAACTACTAAGGAATATAATGCAGGGTAAAATCAAAGGTAGAAGAAGCGTAGGAAGACGTAAAATCTCGTGGCTACGCAATCTCCGTGAGTGGTTTGGATGCAGTTCAATTGAACTATTCAGGCGAGTAACCAATAAAATTATAATTGCCAGAATGATTTCCAATCTCCGATAGGAGTGGAACTTGAAGAAGAAGAATAAGAAACAATAAAACCTAATACATACTTTCACAAGATATCAAATTTAAGGAAGAAAAACCAAAAGTAGTATAAAAAATGCAGGAAATAATAATTTAAACAATATTAAGCCAAGCAAATAAGATTATTTTAGCATAGTTATTAAAGTAAATGGTTTTCATGTATTTTTAATTTTTTTATAAATGTGTAGAGGCTTTAAGTTTCCACACATTTATCCTCAACTTTTCTTGCTTATTGCATTGATGATGTAATTTCATGACTGAGTGAGGTGCTAGGACAAAGATGCCAAGGTGCTATAATATTTGCCATGCAATAGCCACCTAACCTAACCTAACCTTACACCTGTAGAGCACATACTTTACAGATTTGCCTTCTATCAACCACTGTAATGTTTTTCAGGTTTTACTACTAGATAACCATAAATTGAGGATTGTCTGAGCCTGAGACTTGTCTGAGATCATATCTTTTAGTCAGTCACAGCTATTATTCTTTAGCTGGCTTCTTGTCAGCATACCAACTGGGAACATGGTGTTTGGTCCACCATGTCTCTCATGTTCTGCCATCTGCCTATGTACATGCACCCTATAATACTTTTTCTAATAACCACTTTAAGGGGCTTTTTCTAATAACCATGCATTATTTGTGCATTGTATGAAGGACTAATAAATTATGTTTTCTGATAGGTCAGATAGGGTAATTGAAGCATTTGAAATTTATTTAAAAATATACTGTTTCATATTTTAATAAAATAAAAGCTTTTGGCTGTTATACAAAAAGTTTACTGTAGAATGTCTTAAAAACTAGTAAGAAAAAGTTACAAAAAAAGAAGGTATTCAAAGTTTCCATTTACCCCACAAATTTTAAGAAAAAAAAACTAAAAAAGGTTGGTAAAAACTTTTCCAAGTTTAAAACAAATTATAGTTACAAGTTACATAGTTACAAGTTACATAGTTACATAGTTACAAGTTACAAATATTATAATATGTAAAACTAATAAAAAAAATGCTGTCCCACAAGATAGGAAAATAATTTTCACAATGTGTTCTCATTCTATTTTTAAAATTACAAATCATAAAACAGTTAGGTATAAATTATTTCATACAGATATGGGGATAATTTAGAAGGAATTCTATCTTTCGGTATTTTATGTTTTTTTTGCCAATCCCATATTTTCAACAATTAATCTACAATTGGCAAATGGCCCTTGTTTTTAATATTTCTTCTTCTGTTAACTGAGCTCCATTTTTAAATAGAGGTATATTTAAATGTATTTCGTTTTCCTCTAAAAGAACTGATATATCAAAACCGCTGTCCCATAAAATAACTTCTCATTCTTTAATAAGTCCTAAATTTCCGCATTCTGCTGTAATTTTTCTATCTGAAATACTTCCTCCGTAACCATAAAATACATATTATTTTCACCTTTTTCAGAGTATTGGTATTCTGAAGGTATTGGTTACATAATATGTAGAATATGTTGCCTGTTGTATAATAGGATCATTACTTCGGTCTATTGGAATTTCGGTACACTCCAGAATAATTTTGGTACTGGCCTTCTGAATTTCTTTTAATGTTCCATACATCAGTTTTTTTTAAGCAAGTGTAAAGATGCTGGGTCCACTTAACAAATATTTTTTGGACAGTTCGAATGTCTACTGCAAAAATTGCGTTAATGTAGAATAAAACAAATTAAGTCTATATTTCATAAACATTATTAACAGTTAATTCTGTTCAAACTCTTCAAAAAAAAAATGTAAATAATTTTCTTGAAAAACCAGTAAAATGTTTTAACTATTCTTCTCACAAAAATTCATAATCAATTAATTGACTTCTATTCCATGCTAACACAGTTTGATATATGTTTTTGTTTATCACTACACTTTTGTGTATTATTCTTAACTGTAATAAGCCTGTTTCTATGTGCTCTTTTTGTTTGTTTGGTGGCCATACTGCTACACAAAATCTTTTTCTATATCTATCACTTCTCCCAGTCCTTCACTGGAGTCTCCAACTTTCATTTTGGTAAATTTAAGAAGGTACTGCATATTTTCTAAGGATCCTTCATTGTCCTAGAAAAACAAGACAATGACAATGCAATAAATTTGGATAAGTATTTTTTAACTTACGCAAACTTGTAAAGGTATAACTTTCATCTGAAAAGGGCCTGGAAACAGATTTTTGTGTGCTTGCTGATACTTTTTTCAGACCTGATAGCGATCAACCATCATTTTAGTAAAGCTTTATTCAAGGGGAATTTATGAAACTTAACATTGTTAGTTTTATTGGAAACTGTATTGCATTGTGGCATACAACAATAGATGTAAGGCATACTGAAAACTTTTAGTAATTGTGTCCAAACAATTAAAATGTCCTTAATAACTTATTAAAACTTAAATCACTCACAAAATTGCAAAACAACTAGGAAACATATACCAAACAATGTAAATAAATGGCAGAATAAAATAAGGTTATGTTTTAATACCAAACCCTGACGCTAGCGCCACCTACATGCATGTGATCTATTGTCTTTAACATATTCACCAACTACATATATTTAATAACTCTTGTTTATCGCAAGGATAGCCCACATTTGCTCTGGCTTTTAAACATGTCACAATAAGGTTTTCAATTTTGTCTGACAATGCAGTAGACACACCAGCTCCCATCTTATCAATTGGTATGTTTCTACCCTTTATCTTTTTCTTAATTTATGCGATTGTAAATAACGCAATGTGGAATACTGTAGTAAGCAGCAGCCTCCCTATATATTATATTTTTTGTTTTGACGTCTGCCACGGCATTTACTAAATCATTCAAAGAGTATTTTGGTGGTTCTCTCTTTCTTATGTACTTTCTCAGCATTTTAAAAATGACAAGACCTGTAAAAAAAATAACTCTCTTAACAGAAAAAATTGATTTCCATTTACCCCACATTGTTTTCATTTATCATCATCATCATCATTTTAGCTTTACAACCCTGTGTGGGTCCTAGCCTCCCCAAGAATTCTCTTCCAGTCGTCCCTATCCATCGCCTTCCTCCGCCAAGCACGTATTTCCATATTTCTCATATCTTGGTCTATGTTATCTAGGAATCTTGTTCTGGGTCTTCCTCTTCTTCTTTGACCAATAGGTCTATCAAGGAGCGTTTTTCTAGCTGGGTCGGTTTGCTCCATCCGCATTACATGGCCTACCCACCTCAGACGTCCTATCTTAATGTGTTTTACGATATCTGGTTCCTGGTATATTCTATAGAGTTCGAAGTTGTATCGTCTTCTCCAGACACCATTTTCATTTACCGCTCCATAGATTCGCCTCAGTATTTTTCTTTCGAAACATCCTAACATGTTTTCATTGCTTTTTGTTAAAGTCCAGGTTTCTGAACCATATGTTAGGACTGGGCGTATTATTGTTTTGTAGAGTTTTACTTTTGTATTTCTTGATATAGCTGTAGATTTAAAAAGGAGATTAAGCCCAAAATAGCATCTATTAGCCGTGCAAATTCTGCAGTTTATCTCTGCGGTAATGTCATTTTCAGTATTGACGAGCGTTCCCAGGTATACAAATTCGTTAACTGCTTCGATGACGTCGTTTTCTATAACAAGTGGCCGTCGTATTTGTGGTTGCGGACCTATTTTCATGTATTTCGTTTTATTAATGTTTATTATTAAACCCATTTTTGTAGCCGCTTCCTTTAGTGCTACATACGCCTCTCGTGCTGCGTTTTCCGTTCTCCCAACAATATTGATATCATCAGCATATGCTAGGATTTGCACAGATTTGTTATATATTGAACCGGTAGTTGTGATTTGTGACGTACGTATTACTTTTTCCAGAGTTAGATTGAATAGTATACAGGAGAGTGGGTCTCCCTGACGTAGCCCGTTATTTGTATTAAAAGGTTCAGAGAGTTCCCCCTGGAACATACTCTGCATTTAACTTTTTAAAGGGTTAGTTTGGTTAGACTTACCAACTAATTTGATACTCCCAGGTCTATCATTGCTCTAAATAATTCTCTTCTATTTACAGAGTTGTAGGCTGCCTTGTAGTCTATAAATATGTGGTGTGTGTCTACACTGTATTCCAGTGTTTTCTCTAGAATTTGTCTCAGGGTTGAAATCTGATGAATTGTTGATTTACCACCTCTGAAACCAGCCTGGTATTGGCCTATTATTTGCTCTGCATACGGTGCCATACGATGGCATAGTATATTGGATAATATTTTATATGCTGCATTTAGGAGCGTAATTATTACTTATATTACTTATATATACTGCATATTACTTTTATAAGCTGCTGTAGCGCTATTATGATATCATGGCCACCTTATTTATGTTTTCATTTAACCCATGCTCAATATTTAAGGGGGTAATTGTAAACACTTAATGTATTTACTTCTTGTAGTAAATAACCTTCAAATTAACATTTTAGGCAATATAAGGATTCTCATAGTTGCTATAAATTATATAATCACTGTACTTACTAATACAGAGGGATGAAATTTGTAAAATATTGGCACTGTTCTAAATTGATTTATGTGTTTTAAAACAATCAAATTTAAGTTGCACAAAATGGGGATTCACGTGGCCTGTAAACAACTGAATGTCATTTCACAGAATAAGCAAAGATGGAATTGCAATTCTGTGTATGTGACATTATTGCCATATTTTATTTCTAGCCATCAGGAGTACTGTTTCCAATCACCCCTGTTTCCAATTACCCGCACTGACCTACTCATTTTAAATAACTTTAAGTAAAATGGTCCTTGCTAATTATTGAATGGTTTTCCAGAAATTATACTGCCCTCAGCTTAAGACTAGATAGAGTAAAAAGTGAAAACATATAAAAGACAAAGTGTTGCAGTAAATTTGAGAGGAAGACTAGTGTCTAAAACTCATCAGAAGCATTTGCTGCTAATGAAAAAGCTGAGGAATATTATGTTTAATGATTTCAATTTATTATAATTTTTATTGCACAGTGAAGACAATCTTAAGTATCTTATTTTATAAACATCAGGCTAACAATTTTATCTTTTATTCTAATCCTTTTATCTTTTATTCTTGTGCATCGATAGTTCTTTTGAATAAAATCATACCATTTTTAATTTTCATACAACCATTAATTAACTCTGTAATCTGATGTATATTCCAATGCTGATTTTGATTTCATTGTCATAAAACTATATAAGTTTTATAGACCATTTGTTCGCACCTTCTGTAGGAAGCTATAGTCTGACAAATAATATGTGAAATTAGTCATCCAAAATCACGCTCCGTAAGTGGGGAAATGTAACCAAAATAACATGCCCATCATGAATTCTTGGAAATTTTTAAATAAAATCATTGGCAGTGCGTAAAAAATATGTTTCTTGCTGGTCACTTTACATTGTAACAATAGAATAGTATAGTTCTGCTTAATAATAATATGTCGACTGAGCTAATGAGTGGAAATCAACTATATAGTTGGTCATATGAATCCTTGAGATAGACCTTCAACAAAAGCTTGTCGACTACTTGTTACAGTAGTGTTGGTCCACACACTTTTAACAGTATGTCCAGCCTAAGTTTTGTCTAAATAATAAATTTTTTTAGAGCAAATTTTTAATTTTGTTCCTTTCAATAACTGTCATTAAACAGTTGTAATTATATTACCTAATTTTAAATTAAAAATTAATGGTTACTTATGATCAGCAATTCTATAGAATACAAATCAGTATTTCTGTGCTGTTTTCAACTAATCTTGATCTTTTCAATTTTCAGTTTTGAAGAAAGCCGACAAGATAGAATAGTTTTACAAGAAGTTGATCAACAAGCACTAATGCTGTTAATAGAATACATTTATACTTCTGAAGTTAGTGTTACAGAGGACAATGTTCAAGTATTATTACCAGCAGCTAATTTGTTGCAACTAACAGATGTTAGAGATGCCTGTTGTGATTTTTTACAAGCTCAGCTACATCCTACTAATTGTTTAGGCATTAGAGCATTTGCGGATTTGCATGGGTGTTTAGAGTTACTCTCCCATGCTGAATCTTATATTGAACTTCATTTCTCAGAGGTAAGCGACTACAAAATACTTTAATACTAAAACATGATATATTGTAAAATGTGTCAAAAATTAAAAACATTAATAAGTCTGGAATAATCTGGAATGTATCTTCCAGAAACAAATCTCTGTAATTCGTTTTATATGCCTGTCTTTTCTCCCTAAAAGTTTTTCTTCATTCACATTACATGTTTTGGTCGATTTAGACCTCAACAGGTAGTAGTAGAAACGAAGAGATACTCAGAGAACAAAAGACACGATTCTTAATCAAGTTTCGTATTTAACAGAGTATTCACGCAATCTATATTCGATGACAGAAAATAGATACCTCTATGTGGGTCATAAAATGGAGAAAGGAATATCTGCTTACCTCTAACCCAGGTAATGTTGAGTTCCTAGTACCCTAACGAAACTTCATCTCGTCACCACTCTGAGACAGTCAAAGTTCAATTAAAAATCACTCCTCTGTCACTTCAGGCATCAAGATTGAACCGCCAGTTAAGGTATACCATGTCTCCTGGTGCTCTGCCATTACAATATTACCATTCATCAGGAAAACCACACCTACACGAACCACCAGACTTTCATCCTACTGCCTTAGCGATGCCTCAATCTCTCTCACGTCGTAGTCTCTCTCTCTCTCTCTCTCTCTCTCTCTCTCTCTCTCTCTCTCTCTCTCTCTCTCTCCTCTCTCCCTCTCTCCCTCTCTCTCTCTCTCTCTCTTCTCTCTCTCTCTCTCTCTCTCTCTCTCTCTCTCTCTCTCTCTCTCTCTCTCTCTCTCTCTCATCTGTTCATCTTAGATCTTCCCCTCTTTCTCTCTCGTCTTCTTTTCTCTCTCCCTCTCTCTTACATTCCCTTTCTCTCTCTATTACTCTCTGTCTCACTCTCTTTATTTCATTCTCTCTGTCTCTGCCTTCGACAATCTGAACCCCATCGAATTCAGTTTTAAGTTCCCCCTCCTCTTGTTCTTTTGAAGAGAATCAAAGAGAATCTAACATTCTACAATTACACTCTCTTTCATCTGCCCAACGCCCTCACTTCAACATCCGAAAGACCACCGAAAGACATTGGTCAGATTGTGACTTCCTGAATCTGAAAATGTAGCTACGGGAGCAACCATGGCCTATGAGTCTTTGCAGTCTTAATAATGCAGCTGCCTATGCCCACAGTCCACCCAGCTTCGCATGTTTGGAATTAGTGACTTCGTCCACTGTATCATATCACCTTCCTATTCACCTATGTTGCATCCCACTCTTCCTGTACTGCTCGATCTAAACTAATCTCTCGGCCAGCCTTACCTTTCATCTCTCCCCCTGTCTAGTGTTCCGCCCCCTACGACTGTAAACAGTGACCCTCTTACCTGCCAACACATCTAAGGGAGCACAGCTGGTGACCACCCACAGAGTGGCTGCTGACAGAATCCTGTATGCATATGCTACGCGCATCAGACTAGTTTTGTCCATGCGGACCATGAGTCTCTCATAAGTTGGTCTCCAGATTTGGTTGGTCGCCCAACACTTCGTTCTTTCTGATTTGGGCTTGCCGATAATGTGCATTATTCTTCCTCAAATGTTCCACTCAACTCCCACTCTGATGGAGAGTAACTCCCAGATACTTAATGATCTTACTAGGCCTTATTGTTGCTTCTGCACACTTGAATACCACATCTTTCCTCTTTATGAGCTTCCGAGTACTACAGTCATCTTAACTTACCTTGCCTCATAATTACTCATATGGATACTTAAAACGAAGCAGCAGTTCCTCCCTATTCCGCATCGCCACCCATCATAACGAGATCGTCCGAGAATTCGAATGGCTTAATACACTTCTCATATTCGCTGTTTAAGACCCTGTCATATGTTCACAGTCTCGAATCCAGAACGAAACCCTGCGGGACCCAGCCTTCCCCTCGAAAAGATAATCGCAGACAAGAACGTATTATGTGACTCCACTGCAATTTATTAAAAGCATTTCGGACGTGGAAGAGAATTAGGGTGACCCATCGGTGATCTGTCCCGATTCCCTGCGCCGCTCGAAGCACATCGGTCACCGCATCCACTGTACCTTTCTTCTGGAAGAAACCATACTGTGTCAGAGGCAAGCTGTGGTCCAGACCCCTTATATGTCCACCCAGCTTTCTTTTATACAACTTTCCGATGCAAGGACGATATTTTCCCAGAAGGAGCACTAGCCTCGAGATTTTCCAAAGATCCAGAAAAAACTGCATGCCAGGAACATCGTTCATGTGCTCCAACAACCACGTGGGCCCCAAATGGCCCAGATGTACAACCGCCTCAGTTGGTATACCATCTAGACCAGATAGTTCATTCAACATAAAGGGAACCTCACACTCAGCCCTGAAGTCTCTCCGCAAACGTATTCTTGCTCTTGTGGAAACTATGTGGCCTGGAAACTAAAAGGCTAAAAGGGTAACGCCTTATTGAAAGGATGAATGACGACTAACGATGGAGAAAGCAAATGTTAGTTGTTATTAACCGCTGGAAAAGGGATAGACTAAGAAGATCGTGGGGATAAGAAGTAAACGGTGCAAGAAACAGGTCTACCAGCAAATAACTGGAAAGATAGCAACTGTTGAAAACTAGAATGCGAGAAATGGCGACAGCTGTAATAAACTCGTTATAATATTTGGGATTGCAATAGAGGACAGTGAAGATCTTATGGAAAAAAACGGTATGTTTACAAAAAAGTGGATAGATTAACGCTGGATAGATAGAAATATATCAGAGAGAGTTTGATTTTATGAAGATGTATAACTTTGTATTTTACTAAAGGCTATCTCGTATTTCTATTGTACTTATATCTAATGGTACATTTTGAGTTTTATAGGTCGTGGTCTGGACTTGTTTTTTCTTGAAGTTTTGTCTGTTACTGCAGCAAACATTATCCAAGGTAATACGGCAGCGGGCCTAACCTCCTGTTACTCTTTGGCTATTGTGTCTGTGCTATTTATATCATTCGTATCACCCCTGGTTTGCTACTCATAAACTTGCAAGTTACTGAGAGTTACTCATCAATAATTGGAAATGTATGTCCTCAAAATCTTCTTTGTATCAGAAACATTTATCTTGAACCGAAAATATCACATGTGGAAATCGTATCAAAAATTTTAATACTTTCCAATCACATGCAATAAAAAACATCTTACCGGCTTAATTCAAATTATTTATATATAGTCTCAGTATACGTTAACTGATTCCAATATAGATTTTCAATAATATATATGCATATGAAGGGTACAGGGGGAAAACCAGGAATGTCACTTTTGTTTGATTTTCCAGGAGAGAATTTTCAAAGTTATAAGACTAATATTATTAATATGTTTTGTTATATATGGTAATTTTTATTGAAAAATCATATTTGGTATGTTTACTATGTGGTTTATAATTGTTCTTGTCATTTGGACAGTTTTAGAATACTACATTGTAAGATATTGTTCTGAAGCTATTTTCTTGTGGCATTGTAAATTAATTACTATTTATAACTGGGAATAAGCCACAATTAAAGATAAAAATACGTTTATTGACGTTTCAATTTCCAATTCGGAAATCGTTCTCAAAATACAAACAGTAAATTAAACAAATTTTGTTTTTTGTTACATAGTGAAAAAATTCTTCTAATAATTTAATTTTATCTGACTCATTTATATTGACAATTCAGACATACATTATGCATTTTAAAGTAGACGACTTTAAAATGATATTGCCAATATTGTTGAGTTGCGCTCCTGGGACGACTTTACTTATAAGATAGTTCATTCGATTACATGAAATCAACTTTAACTTGAGAATATCCGTCAGAAAAAATCATAGCATGTAATTCGTCTTTAAAAAGACAAACACATGACATGATGACAGTAAAATTCTCCTGTTAGTGATTCCATAGTAAATTATGAGGGAAAAACCAGGAAAAAAACCTCATAATACTATCCCGACATTGTAAGTATTTGTTCGTGAATTTAGTTTACCTTCAACAAACATCAAAATTCTGATTTTATATGTTACGTTATTTAAAAAACATAAATGATGTATCCTCTATATGTTACTGACTTACTAATACTGGTATTTTCTTATTAATAACTTCCTCTTTCAATATTGGTAACCAGATCCTACTACATTCTGCCGAGGAATTTGCGACACAATTGGCCTCATTTAGCATAATTAGAGCCGCTTCTTTGATTTTTCTTTTTTTACCATCCGTTTCTTTTAGGACTATATTTGAATTATTCCATTGAACCCTATGTTCATTATCCCATGCGTGTTTACATATTTGAGATCTATCAAATTCTCTATTTTTAATATAAGATTCATGTTCACTTATTCTAACATTTAATGGCCTTGATGATTCACCTAAATAAAACTGATCGCATTCACAAGGTATTTTATAAATGCAATTCTTTGTCCTTTCTTGTTCATTGTTAGGTTTGGTTTTGGACAAAATAGATCTCAACGTGTTTATTGCTTTGAATGTTGTTGAAATATTGAATTTATTAGTAAGTCAGTAACATATAGAGGATACATCATTTATGTTTTTTAAATAACGTAACATATAAAATCAGAATTTTGATGTTTGTTGAAGGTAAACTAAATTTACGAACAAATACTTACAATGTCGGGATAGTATTATGAGGTTTTTTTCCTGGTTTTTCCCTCATAATTTACTATGGAATCACTAACAGGAGAATTTTACTGTCATCATGTCATGTGTTTGTCTTTTTAAAGACGAATTACATGCTATGATTTTTTCTGATGGATATTCTCAAGTTAAAGTTGATTTCATGTAATCGAATGAACTATCTTATAAGTAAAGTCGTCCCAGGAGCGCAACTCAACAATATTGGCAATATCATTTTAAAGTCGTCTACTTTAAAATGCATAATGTATGTCTGAATTGTCAATATAAATGAGTCAGATAAAATTAAATTATTAGAAGAATTTTTTCACTATGTAACAAAAAACAAAATTTGTTTAATTTACTGTTTGTATTTTGAGAAC